CTGGGATACCCAAGAAACGGAGGAAATGTTGCTTTGCCGAGATCTGGGGTTGGAAGGTGGGTCCCTTTTACACAACGGGACAGTCTCTAATTTTTTATTTATATGGCACTGAATTTTTTTTCTTCATCTTAATAATCAGTGTGGCAACAGCCACGCTGACATCCAAAAGTGACAGGTGTCTGAATTGCAATGAGGTGTCTATACAACCGCCAACGCGGGGGAAGGAAAAGACAAAGGTGTGGAGGAGATGTTTGTAAAACAAATACTGCAACTGCTAGGCTGGTTGAATGGAAAGGAGGCAAAAAGAGAAAAGAAAATGGGGTGTAGGACTTGGCTGGTGGTATGGAATACGACCCCCAAATGCATCCTCAGTTTTGGTGCCTGGTTGGCTTAGGAAAGACTGTCCCTTCTTTCTCAAGAAGGGTCTTGGGGTCAAGTGTGACTCTTCATCCCTCACACCACAGCCTCCCTAAGCTATTAAAATCCCTGCAAGCCAGAGCTCTCCCCAAGAGCAGGGCGGCTGTTTGGCATTCCAATGAGCAGCGCTGGTGAGGCGCCCGAGTCTGGAGCCGACCAGGGTGCTCGGAATAAAGGAGACAGGATGTGAAGGCCCGAGGACATCCACCCACAGAGGGACAGGCCCATCTTAACAAGAACAGGTTACGATTTTAGTTGTTCTAGCAGGGGAGTGGAAGAAAGGGAATGTGTCTTCCCTCCCCGGCTCCCCTGTTCCTGCGCTGTCTGACCTCAGGCAAGGCAATTTAATAATCATCCGGTCGCATTTGACTTCATAGGGCCTTTCATCCACGATCTCAAAGCACTTCACAAATACCAATTCATTAACCTTCACAACCCACCCTGGGGGAGAAAGGGTGGGCATGTTTCCACCGTGGTGGGAACGCTCAGCTGGAGGCACAGGGAAAAGAGTTCTCCCTTCAAGGTCACTTGAAAGTTGACCAGGAAACTCAGGAGTAAGATCCAGGAAGCTGGCATCACGCCCAGGCGCTGCTGACTGCTGGGGCCTCAGTTTACCCTTGGTGCCTTTGGGCTGGGTCCGCACGTCTGATTCTCCTCACATAGAGCAGAAGAGCCGCAAGTTCAGAAAGGGCAGGAAAAGCAACATCGTTGCCTGCCAGCTGTGTGCTGACCACTTTCATGTCCTACATCATCTTCACCCCCTGCAAGAGCCTGTGAAGTTCTATCCCCCATTTTACAGGGGAGGAAACTGAGGCTAAGGGAGTCAAAGATTTCCTCCAGGTCATCTAACTCAGAGGGAGCAGAATTAACAATCAATCTGTTTGTAATAATCATAATAATAACAATAATAATAATGATAATAATTCATGAACATTCACGGCCACCCCCGAAGGCCGCCCTTAAGAATTCTCAGTTCACAGACTTTTCTGCATCTCTGATCAACTCATCAATTGAGCCCATGAGCTGGAACAGGAAATATTGAGGAGTGGCAGAAAGCCTGGCTCAATTTACAGCTACAAAGTGGGGAGTTACTAACTGGGGCAAAAGAGTGGCTCTGAAAAGGGAGGTGGGGGGAGCAGGGGAGGAGAGAGGGACAGCTTGGGGTGGGTTTAAAGAGAGGTTTCAGGGGGATGAGTTTGGCACAAGGGGGAGAGAGATTTGGGAAGAGCTGCTATGCATGTGTGAATTATATCACAGAGAGATAAGGGAATAAAAAGAATTTTAAGAAGTTTTGCTTCGCCTTGTGTATGGTTTCTTAAGGGACTGCAGTATAGATTTGACTGTTTCTGAGCTGCTTTTGGATGTCAGACTGATGCTTCCCTAAATACAATGCTAGGCAGAGGCAGGCCAAGCCCCAGTGTGGTGTTTGTGGGTTGCATGCCCTGCTCTTTCCATGTCGCGTTGCTGTCATCCCTCCCACCTCGGCTGAGCTGGACACCCCAGTGGCTGTGCGCCCATGATACGTAGAATGGGTACTTGTCGCATGCTTTTCATATGCTCTTATAACTTTTGTGATTGAATGCGCCTTCCTGTGAGTAACCTTGGCGGGACAAATAGCATCATTGACTACTATCCAGGTGAACTCATACACAGGCCAGGAAACAACCAGTACTTTCACGATGTCTAAGTCAGGGTAGATTAACTGCCATAAGAAACAGCTCCAAAATGTCAGTGGCTTAACATGATGAAAGATGATTTCTTATATGATGTCCCATGTTGATGTCACTAGCGGGCAGCTCTCCTGGGCAGGTCACTCCCAAGCCATGACTCAGGGACCAGGCTTCCATAATCTTGTTATTCCTCTGTCCTCTAAGGTCTAGGGGTCCTGCCCTTCCAGTTGCAACAATGGCAGAAAGATGGAGTATGGAGAAGGGCACAAAACTCAGGAGCTAGACCTGGCAGTGATGTACCTGTCACTCTGGCAATTACATGGTCCCACCTGACTGGTGGGGAAGCTGGAATGTGTTGTCTAGCTTCTTCCAGAAGGGAAAGGACATCTGATCTCTCTGCCACACAGGGTGCTCCCCCACAATACTGGGGACTCCCTTTGCAGCCAAACTTGGAGCTCTGCTGGAGTTGCTCCTGCAGGCACTGGGCACCAAGTTTGAGGGTGGCTAGGGGTCTCTTCCCTCCCAATTGATTTATGAGTAAGCTAGGATCCTGCAGAGGGGAGCAGAGCTTATTTGGGGAGTTTCTAAAAAGATGGTATGGACCTAGACAATTGGAAGGCATCTGACATTTTCTGGTTGGAGGGGGGACATGTCCAACTTAATAACCGCCTTGGTACTGACATTGACCCAGGCATCCTTCTCTTTCTTCTGTAAAAAATAAAACCAGACAAACAAAAAAACACCACATGATGTACAAACACTGGATAGAAGGGATTTCTTACCTACACACAAAAGGTGAGTGCTAAAACTTCTCAAGTTTCTGTCTTCAGTGTCCATCCAGCCAAGGTTGACTATGCCTTCTTGGAATATCTAGTGAATCTTAGTCTGAAGAGCGTTATTTGTCACTCATTTTCAGAACAAAAGCCTTAGTGCTCTTCCCATGTGCAGCCATGGCCTCAGCAATAAAGCAGGTGGAAAACTCCTCTGTCTCCCTGGAGAAACCATGCTTTCTGGGTCACTATAACAATCCCCAAACATGTAGCTGTATGTTGGAACATAACTGTCTACACTCCTCACAGATTTCAAGGGTCCAATAATGACAAAAATCTGCTTATAGCCCAGGCTCTTTCTTTCCATTTCCTCTGAAAATACCAAATACCAAACTCTGCTTGTAATACAGAATCAAGGCTGAAATATTCCAAAGAGACATCACACTTGTCCTTCCTCCCAAGTTCTTTTCTCTGCTGCCTTCAATTCCCCCTCCTTTTCCACTTGCAGAGACAAAAGAGAGAATTCTATAACCACTGGCCTCTGTCCGAGAACACAGAAGAAAATGAAGCCAGGCAAACAACAGAGAAAAGTGAACCACAGAAGAACAAACTCGAATGAAACTGCTTAACAATCCTACAGCGCAAGCCCAGCAGGTGAGTGCTTTGACTTCTTTTCCTCTTCTTCCTAAATGTCCAGTTGTCCAAATTCTTAAAGTAAACTTGAGGGTTGGTAAAGAGCTTTGAAAACCCCTACATAGAAATGACTTGCTCATCAATATATATCCTAAATCTTTAAAGAAGTCATCTGGTTTGACTCAGTAATTCTAGTTCTGAGACTATCCAAAGTCAATTAATTAGGTCAGAATCTCCCAGAAGCAGAGCCTGAGACAAGGATTCGGTGCTTGTGAATAGTTTCTTTGGGAGGTGATCTCAACAAACATGGTGAGGAATCAGGGAATGTGGGAAAGGGCAATGAGAGGAGAGACAATACGATGGAGACGCTAATGAATTGGACACTGTGGGTAACTAGGGCCCAATCCCATGAGGACTGTCTGATAGACTGTGTAGAACAGACCTTTCAGTTGTCAACCTCAGGAGCAAGGAAGCTGAAATTCCTTTCCCCATTGACTGAGGGGAGCCCAGGGACATTAATGTTGACATGTCCAGGCTGTTCCACATGTATGTAGGCCAAGTATAACCATGGCCAGAGGACAAGTTCAGGCAGGTGACTTAGGATGCCAGCAGACTATCCAAGGACAGTCTTCAGGGAAAAGCCTAGGAATGGGATGCTGATAGTATCTTCTACAGATAATAATCCTAATATAGAAAAAACTAAGCACAACAGATTTGCAGCATTACCTGTAACAGTGGAAAAATTGGAGGCAACTTTAATGTCCACATTATAGAGAGAGTTACATGTATTCTGGCATCCACTCAATGAGGTATTGCCAATTCTACTTTTTTCAGTAACAATACTGTGTGTCAGGCTCAGCACTAGGTCCCAGGATCACTATGATGAGAAAGATAGACCTGGTCCTTGCCCTCTGAGAGTGTGTGCTCTCATTTGTTTATGCAGGATTTGATAATACATGGACACATGCCTAGCTTGTACTACAAAACCCTGGAATCAGGATTGTACATACAGCATGATCTTAATTCTTTTTTTTAAATGCATAGAAAAAAGACTGGAGGGAAGTACACCAGATTGCTAATAGTGATTCCCTTTGGGTGATGGGAGTTTCTTTGCTTCTTGCATTTCTATTTTCACCAAATTTTCTCTAATAAGAATGTACTCCTCTCATGAGGGAGAATGTAATAAACTTTCTTTGAAAATAAGAGAAAAAGAAGTCACCTGCTAAGCAGAAGGGAACTCAAAGCTAGCCCCTCTCACCATCTCCCTACACCCAGCTTTAATGTGCATCTAGCATTTCTGGTTCCCCACTGAATCTGGAATCAGCTTCTAATCCAAAGTCACTTGGGGCACTTGGCTCTTTCTTTCCATTTCCTCTGAAAATACCAAATACCAAACTCTGCTTGTAATACAGAATCAAGGCTGAAATATTCCAAAGAGACATCACACTTGTCCTTCCTCCCAAGTTCTTTTCTCTGCTGCCTTCAATTCCCCCTCCTTTTCCACTTGCAGAGACAAAAGAGAGAATTCTATAACCAGTGGCCTCTGTCCGAGAACACAGAAGAAAATGAAGCCAGGCAAACAACAGAGAAAAGTGAACCACAGAAGAACAAACTCGAATGAAACTGCTTAACAATCCTACAGCGCAAGCCCAGCAGGTGAGTGCTTTGACTTCTTTTCCTCTTCTTCCTAAATGTCCAGTTGTCCAAATTCTTAAAGTAAACTTGAGGGTTGGTAAAGAGCTTTGAAAACCCCTACATAGAAATGACTTGCTCATCAATATATATCCTAAATCTTTAAAGAAGTCATCTGGTTTGACTCAGTAATTCTAGTTCTGAGACTATCCAAAGTCAATTAATTAGGTCAGAATCTCCCAGAAGCAGAGCCTGAGACAAGGATTCGGTGCTTGTGAATAGTTTCTTTGGGAGGTGATCTCAACAAACATGGTGAGGAATCAGGGAATGTGGGAAAGGGCAATGAGAGGAGAGACAATACGATGGAGACGCTAATGAATTGGACACTGTGGGTAACTAGGGCCCAATCCCATGAGGACTGTCTGATAGACTGTGTAGAACAGACCTTTCAGTTGTCAACCTCAGGAGCAAGGAAGCTGAAATTCCTTTCCCCATTGACTGAGGGGAGCCCAGGGACATTAATGTTGACATGTCCAGGCTGTTCCACATGTATGTAGGCCAAGTATAACCATGGCCAGAGGACAAGTTCAGGCAGGTGACTTAGGATGCCAGCAGACTATCCAAGGACAGTCTTCAGGGAAAAGCCTAGGAATGGGATGCTGATAGTATCTTCTACAGATAATAATCCTAATATAGAAAAAACTAAGCACAACAGATTTGCAGCATTACCTGTAACAGTGGAAAAATTGGAGGCAACTTTAATGTCCACATTATAGAGAGAGTTACATGTATTCTGGCATCCACTCAATGAGGTATTGCCAATTCTACTTTTTTCAGTAACAATACTGTGTGTCAGGCTCAGCACTAGGTCCCAGGATCACTATGATGAGAAAGATAGACCTGGTCCTTGCCCTCTGAGAGTGTGTGCTCTCATTTGTTTATGCAGGATTTGATAATACATGGACACATGCCTAGCTTGTACTACAAAACCCTGGAATCAGGATTGTACATACAGCATGATCTTAATTCTTTTTTTTAAATGCATAGAAAAAAGACTGGAGGGAAGTACACCAGATTGCTAATAGTGATTCCCTTTGGGTGATGGGAGTTTCTTTGCTTCTTGCATTTCTATTTTCACCAAATTTTCTCTAATAAGAATGTACTCCTCTCATGAGGGAGAATGTAATAAACTTTCTTTGAAAATAAGAGAAAAAAAGTCACCTGCTAAGCAGAAGGGAACTCAAAGCTAGCCCCTCTCACCATCTCCCTACACCCAGCTTTAATGTGCATCTAGCATTTCTGGTTCCCCACTGAATCTGGAATCAGCTTCTAATCCAAAGTCACTTGGGGCACTTCTCAGGCATGACTGGGTTCTGGAGGTAGCAAGTATCTCCTGATTAAATGTGAAATTCTTAGGGCACCACAAAGAGAACAAGAAATAGCGATCCTTTTTAATTTTCTTAAATGAATTCATGGAAATATGAAGCCCATAGTCATGTGGCCCAGGTTGCTGGTTCCTCTGTATGCTGATCAGCTTTGCTACTGTCTCCAGCAGCTAGCTAGCGTCTTCAGTGTCTGCAAAGTTCCTGCTTCTGTTAGAAATTTACCATCCCACCATGGGGAGGAGACCTACATGTTGGGGAATTTTCTTGCCAATCATCTCTCTGGTAGATTCTTGCGACTTAGGGGTGAAACACATTACCTAAATACAAAATATTCTCATCAAATGCTTTGTAATTGTGAAATGAGCTAGATATAAGGAGCAGAAACATGACTATATCCAACAAAATTTCATTTACTGGAATAGTTACAGTTGCTGAAATTCATCCTGAAATATTTTACATGCAGTTTAAAAGAGTTAAGTATTTTAGAAATCCTTTCCTTGCCCCCAACTTACAACACCTCAATTCTAAATTATTTTTGGTTTAGATGGAAACATTTTAGTTCTTAAGCCTTTCATTAATTCAGGATGTGGCTATAGGTCCAGGCTGCAGCATTGTACAACACTAGGGCGCTCCACTCACATAGGGCTGTCCCTTGGAGTTTTGCAACAGAGTCTGTATGGATCTAAACACGATTTTTGAAACAATTTTTTCTTGATGTTCATGAATTTCTGATAGGGCTTTTGGATATTTCATTCTGACGAACATGCTCAAAGCGAGGGCCATATTCTGTTGAGGATCATGATGATCAACTCTTCCCAAAGAGTGTTATTTATTACTAGTTCCTTGGTATATCAACAGGTATTTTGTGAAAGAAAGAGTCCAAGGTTTAAATTTGAAATGAGTTTAGGAAAGGCTGGTTAAGTAAATTGAAACAGGATTCTCTACTGCAGGAGGACCTGGTCTTGAATATGCTGGTGTCATACATCTTTATGAATTTCCAAGACAGCAGCAGAATATACAGTGTTTCCAAATTATTAAATGCAGAAGTGACCCCTCAACTGCCCTTTTTGTTTTTTGTTTTTTGTTGGGATACCTCATACATCCATAGTTGGCAATAAGTGCATGTTATTGATACCGAAGGACGTGAGCTGTCAGATCTAAGCCAGTGGTTCTCAAACTTCAGTGTGCATCAGAGTCACCCAGAGAACATTCTAAACACAATTCCTGAGCCTTCCTGAGATATTCTGATTCAGTATGTCAAGGTGGGACCTGCAAATCTGCATTTATAAGTTCTTTGATGATGCTGTTACTGCTAGCACAGAGACCATATCACAAACTTTGAGAAATACTAGTTTAGAAAGAAAGATGTCGTGATTTCCCAGAAGGACAGACAACCTGGAGGGAAAGGAATGGTTTCCTAGTTGCACAGCTGGTCCTTTGGCTATGAATGTCCCATTTCCTCATGCAATGCGTGATGGTGAAAGGATACTTGATTTTTAGAGCCTGGGGCTGAGGGCCTAAAGGAGCAGATGAGATCTGACCCAGGAGCACAATTAAAGGTAGTCACAGAAGGTGCAGTACAAGGTAGCAGTCTACGTAGGGCAGGTGTAAGGAGCACCAGCTTTGGCGGCAGCATCCTGGCTCTGAGGCCCAGGCAAATAATCTCTTTTGAGCCTCAGTGTCCTCATCTGTCATATGAGCGCCATGGGTATTACCTGCCAGGGTTATAAGAAGGGCAAATCGGATAGCAGTTGTGAAACATTAGCACCATGTTACGTGGCCGGCACTCAGTCCATGGGAGGAAAAAAAGACTTGCTCACTGGGAATAAAGCAAGACTTGGGTACAGAAAGTGGGGCATCAAGGCCAGACAACAACCTTGATTTACTGAACACTTGACACACAGTAGGTGCTCGTTAAATATCTATTGAAGAATCCATGTATTTGACAGAGGGATGGACCAGCCTGACCCCAGGAGCTACTGAAAAATGAAACAGTGAGATTTTGCTTTAGTCAGGCGAGCTTTTTCTTCTCAGAACAACAAACAAGAAACAAAACAAAGCAAAGCAAAAGTAAAATCAGACAAGGTTTTGGTTCTGAAAGACACTGAACAAAAACACTTGAGTTATTATCTCAAGAAAAATCAATGACTTTCCCATCCACCAATGTATGAGCCTTCGGCATTGACTTGGAAACACTGAAATCCTCCCTGTCTGATGCTCTCCCGAGTCCACAGGCTGAGCTCACACATTCCTGCATTCCCGGGTGGCCCAGCCAGTGTGAAATTATTTCCTCCTTGGATTGCAGAGCCATTGCTGCAGGTATGAACGTGCCTTCGAAGCCCTCTGCCTTCTGGCTCACATAGCAAGCGAGTGGACAAAGAAAAGATGAGGCAAATCAAGCAGGTGTGGGGTTTGGGGTTTGGAATATCACAGGGGAGGTAAGCACAGCCAGGAGGCCAACCAAGAGCTGAGCAGGTTCTTGGCTGAGCAGAACAATCACCTGGGGATAGGTTATTTAAATTATTATTATTATTTAATGACAGATTCCTAGATCCTACCTTAGACTAGATCAGGATCTCCATCTTAATATCCCCTTTTGAAGACTCTATGATGAAAATAATTGCAGGAATCAATTTCTGTTTCAGTTCTGGAGATACCATCATGCAGAGCTACCTCCAATCTTTTGCAGCTCACCCAGGGGCCTCAGACTGAAGAGAATTCCTCCCCAGGGCATTCAACACCTGCCGGACCAAGCTGACAACATTCAAGAGGAGGGTGTTCTTTTAAGAACATACAGTATGGAAAAGAAGAGCTGGAAAATTCTCAAAGACTCTTCTCATGTTAGCAGCCATGTTTCTGCAATTATGTTTTAGAAAGCATTCATCTGCAAAAATAATTACAAGGAGAATGTACAATGAGAAGTGGTCTGTGTCATGTCTGCTTAGAAGAATGTCAAGATCCCTCCATTTGGCATTTTGGCGCCCAGGAAGAAAAAGTGGATGAAGAGGCCCCTTTGGGTATCTTGTTAACAACTGAAGAGCCACATTTTACAGCCAGAGAAGCTGTGACTCTTCACACACTCCTCTCTGACTCTCCCTGTGCCACACGAGAGTAATGCCCTTTATGGAGGGCCTGTAGGAAGCATTCTACATGCACTATCTCATTTAATTCTCATAACATGTGAAAAGGGCAGGGGTCAGCAAACTGTGGTCAGCCACCTGTCTTTGTAAATACAGTTTTACTGACACAGCCGCTGCCATTCATTTACATATTGTCTTTGGCTGCTTTTACACTAAGGGCAGATCTCAGTAGTTGCCACAGAACCCTATGCCCCATATTGGAGAGAAATCTGCATCCCCGTGTGCATGTAGCAATATTCACAATAACCAAGGTTATGGTAACAACCTAAGTGCCCATCATCAGAAAAATGGATAAAAAAGATGTTATGGGAGAGAAATCTGCATCCCCATGTGCATGTAGCAATATTCACAATAACCAAGGTTATGGTAACAACCTAAGTGCCCATCATCAGAAAAATGGATAAAAAAGATGTTTTATATATATATATATATATATATTACACACACACATATATATAATGGAATGTTATTCAGGCATGAGATAAAAGAAAATTCTGACATTGGCACCAACATGCATGGACCTTGAGGACATTATGTTAAGTAAGGCAAGTCAGACAAGGAAAGACAAATACTGCATGATATTACTTTTAAGTGGAATCTGTAAAAGCCAAACTCATGAAAACAGAGTAAAATGGTGGTTACCAGAGGCTGGTAGGTGGAATAGGGGAGATGTTGGTTAAGGGTACGAACTTGCAACTAGTAGATAACTTGTGGAGGTCTAATGCCTGGTAGAGTGGACATAGTCAACAATACTGAATTAAGTAACCAAACCTGCGAAGAGACTAGATCTTAAGTATTGCCACCTCAAACACAAAATAATAATTATGTGATGTGAGAGCAATGTTAACTAGCACCAGAGTGGAATCATATTATAAGACAGACACATCGCATCATCATGATCAATATGTACGGCTTCTCTTACACCATTGTATATGACAAATCGATTTCAAGTCAAAAAATGAAATGAATGTGACATAATATTATATGTGTCTGTAATTCAGCCATAAATACAAAGAAAATCCTGCCATGTGTAGTAATATTGATAGAACTTGAGGGCATTAGCTTAAGTAAAACAAGTCCAACAGAGAAAGACATATACTGCAGGTTCTCACCTGTGTGTGGGATCTAAAAAGGCTGAACTCAGAAACAGAGTGGACGGTATTTGCCAGGGATGAAGGGTTGGGGTACATGAGGGAGATGCTGGTCAAAAGATATGTACACTTCCAGTTACAAGATGAATGTATTCTGGGATTATGTGAAGCATGGTGGCTGTAGTTAACAACACTCTATTAAATACTTTACAGTTTGAAGACAGTAGGTTTTAAATGTTATTTTAAAGAAGAAAACTCAACAAAAAATCCCATGACCTGCAAAATCTAAGATATTTACAATGTGGTAGAAAAAGCCTTTACAGAAAAAGCGTGTTGACCCCTGAAATGGGTCAGTGGCCCCACTTTACAGATGAGGAAATAGAGGCACAGAAAGGCTCAATGAGTCCCCTGAGATCATTTAGGTTGTAAAGGACAGTGTCGGAGATGTCTTTGGCCACAGAGGCAGCATTCCTGTGCTTCCCCCCACCCTCAACTGTAGTGCCTCCTGCTCTGTCACACTGGTCTGTTCTTGCTAAACACGTCAGCCAAAGAGGACGTGTTCATTTGCTCTGAACAAAATGTTATCATAAAGAGGCCTGTGGGAGATTCGGGAGTCCCAGAGAAGTGTCACCCTCCTCTCCAAGCCCCTAACAACTGAGCTCCTAGCCTTGCCAGAGTTTATGAGAGAGACGATCATCCAACATGGACAGAGAGAGCTCTTTGAAGTCCGGCAGATCTGCTCAGGGATGTGCCTGGGGAAGAACTCAGGATGAACCAGGCAGCCCCAGGCCAAAGGCAACAGCTGCCCTTGGCTGACAACACTCCCCAGGGAGCTTGTCCTGGTCCTATTTCTGAGGACAGGCCCACGTTTGCTGTGCCTGCCACTCTGCCCTTACTGACGTCATCCCACCCAGCCTTGGCTTGATTTGCCTGTGGATATTGCTGATGATGCTGTCTTCCTGTTCCAAGTTCCCATCTGGTCCTGGTTTCTGCCTGTTTAGCCATAGCTCACGCTTCAGCTCTGGGTAACAGGCCACACCTGGACAGCAGTCTAGCAGTCTGCATCTCTTAAGGGGTGTCAAAGCTAAGGTTTCCCATCCTGGGCAGAAAACCCAAAGTTTCCATACATATCCTGAGATCAAACCAATCCTAAGAATGGGATAATAACTGAAACCTGTAGATAAGATTGCTAAGTTAAAGGTCACCAAAATTTCCCAGAATACAGAAATAGTTGTATAAATAATGGTAAATCTATGCAATGGAATACTATACGGCCACTTAAAATGGTATTAACAAAGATTTTTAGACACCATGGTGCATGTAGCAGAGGCAGGGCCAGCTTCATGGGTGTGTGAGCTGTGCAATTAAGCACGTTCCGTGCTTAGAGGGCCCCACATTTGGTTTGATTCTCCATGGCCACCATCTGGAAATTCTTAATAAAGTTTGAGTAAGGAAACCCCACATTTTCATTTAGCACTGAGCCCAGAAATTATAGAGCTGGTCCTGAACAGAGATCTCTCCCAGAATTCACTCTCTCCTGTCTTTCAGTAATACAACTTCCCTACTCAATGCACCCACCCACACTCACCCTAAGGTTTCCATGTAAGAATCCCTTCCCAATGTTCTTGGGGAATTTTTGTGTTTTTCCAAATCCTGAAAAGAAAACTCAGTAAAGCAATTGGGGAAGTGGGAAAAACTTAACTCTCCAGGAAGAATATTGGAAGTCTTTTAAAAATAACTTATGATTTCAGGGACTTTCAAGCATTCCCAGGGATTCCAATTTCTCATTTGGAAATGCTAAAGATTGATATTCATGGAATATTTTGAAACATTGATCCCACATATGATGTTCAGCTGGAGACAACTTCCAGCCTCCCTTGAAGCTAGGTATAGCCATATTTTAAATTTTGGCCAATGAGATGTAAGCCTGAGTAAAGTGTACACCTTCTGGGTTATGTTTTTATGAGGAAGCTATTTGTCCCCTGTTCTTTTTTATCCCTCCTCCCTGGCTTGGAAATGATGAAAACTGGGGGATCCACCTGGGATCAAGACATGGAGACCACGTGTCAAAGAAGAGCGTTGCCCTTCTGGCCTGTTCCCCGGATGGCTCTGTGCAGAACTGCCTACCTACCCTAGCCTCGCCTGTCTTTAGACTGTCACATGGGAGATAAATAAATTCTATTTCATTAAATTTATGTATCTTGGGGTCTTTTTATTACAGCAGCCTAACCTGTATGAACACATATAGGAACATGCTTATGCTATACTACTACTCCATAAACCACCATGCACAATTGTATTTAACAGTTTAGTGCATATTACATGATACACAATTGTGTATTTATATATAATATAATCTCAACCACTAATAAATACACAAAGAAAATGCCCAGGAGAAAATAGGTCAAAAGCCTAGAAGTAAAGGGGATAGGAGAAGCCACGTTGGACATTGTTCCATAAAGAAAGTAGGTGATGTTATCTACATAGTCATTCAACAAATACTTACTGAGCACTATTTATGTTTTGGGCAAAGACCTAGAAGAGAGAGCAAGAAAGACATTCCCTGTTTGTATAGAGTTTACAGTGAAATTGGAAAGGAAGAATGTTTGTAAATAATGACCAGTGTGAATGATAGGAAGAATTTATTCTCTCCTTTTACTGAGTCTTTCCCCAGATATTGGAATACTGGAGAGCTTTGGGGTTTTGGAGAATCTCTGTCTCCTTCAAGAACTGGTCATTTCCACTATGCCCAGAAGCTGATGGTTTCAGCAGGAGGTGGTCCACCCCTTCAGCAATCCTTCAAGGCTACAGTGGGCACAGGAGTCCTCAGGGCTCCCGTTTCACATCCCTGCCTCTCCTCTCCAGAAACCTCACTCCAGCTTCCCTAGCCCCAGGCTAAAGAAAACTGGAAAATATCCAGCCCCTTACACTCTCCGTGGGTCAACGGAGCCCTCTTTATCTGAGAACACATGGTCTGTTCTTGGGTTGCCATCTTGGGAGAACCAAGAATGTCTATTTGGTTTTAATTTGGGGGAAAAAGCAAAGAAAGCTGAACAAACATGTGAGTGCAAATTTGGCACTTGTCTTACACGGTAGCTTTAATTTTTGTAGACTTAAAAAAAAGTGAGAAACTCTTGTATTCTGTGTAGCAAAAGTTATTAAATATCCTGTAAGAGCCTGTCTGAGTCAGCGAGAGGCAGTAAGTTTGCTGTTGGGTAATACTGGGTGTTTACTGGAGACTTTATCTGCCTATCTCTCCATCTACCTGCCTGGCTAACGCATGCAGCTCTGCCAGCCACTGCAGGGCATTTCTGTCCACATACCTGTCAGATTCCATTTTTCAGCAGAAGCTTCATTAAGAAATAAAGCCTGGGCATTCTTAGAGACTCTTTAAATAGCTGAAAATAATGAAGGAGAAGTCAATGCAATTAACCAAGCCCTTGGCAGTTGGATTTGAATAGCAATGAAACTAATTATGTGCCCCAGGCACCCTCACATTGTATGTGCCGCATCATCAGGCCACAATAAAGAATGTCTCAAAGATGTGCATCTCACAGGACAGGAACAAGACAGGAATTACCTTGGTGAATTCCTTTCCTTCTGTTCCTCCTCCATCAAGAAGACTGAATCTTGCAAGACAGTCTGCAGTTGTTTACCTACTATTCATTCTTCTCTTCTTCCTTACTAACAGAAACATTTTACTCAGACTGACAATGTGCCCAGATAAAAGAACCTATTTCCTAGTCTCCTTTGCAATTATAAGTGGTCAATAAAATGTCAGTGAAGTCATTTGAGGCTTCTGGGAAGCTTGTCTTTCACCCCTTCCTCCTTTTTCCACCAAGAACATGGATGTGATAAGTGAGTTCCATCAGCCATCTTGTCACCATGAGGTAATCTTTGGTGTGGAATTCATAAGCTTAAGATAGAAGAACAGAAAGACTAAAGGAGGCCGGATCCCTGGTGACCATGAAGCTGCCATACCTCCCTGGGATTCTTGACCTCAAGACTCCATGTCACATGACAGAAAAACAAATCTTCAATTGTTTATAGCAACTGTCAGTTCAGATGTCTGTTACTAGCAGCAAGTCTAATTTTAACAAATTTTAACAAATATAACATACATTTGATTTTTACTTCTCCCACAATCTTTCCAAGAGACTCCAAAAATTCAGTCACT